GGAATGAAGAGAACACAAAGCAAAGCTTGGCTTCTGAGCTTGGAATCCTCATCTTGGCCTCTGACCCTTGTTCCCAGTCGTTCTCATTTGAAATTTCCCACGTGCGCTGTGCTATTCCCCAGCTCAGGCTGACGAACCAGCGGGGTGGGAACGCACTGGCATTCCCACGTCTCTGCTGCACTCCGGGCTTTTCATCAGCCTATAAGAGTAGTGCCTTCTCTTCTTTCTCTCTCTCCAAAAAAGAAGTCCTACTAGGAACCATGTAGTATCGGCCCTTAGAATGAGCTGACAGTTTTCTCCACTTTGCTCTGAAGCTCTTACTAATTCCGACAGCAATGATGAGTTTTTCTCTGGGATTCCCAGCATCAGTTACAGAAGCAACGAGTTTCCAAACAATTAATGACTTAGTCAATGAATGCTTTCTGCCTTGCAATAATACCAATGACCATTTCTAGAAGCGCCGTGTCCATCTCTTTTATTTCCAGCATTCTCAGAGAGTATCACATTATGTTATCCAGTTTTTAAATTGTGGTTTCAGAAGAAAGGGTCATGATTTAATATAATAGTAAGGGAACCTAAGGGGTATGAGCACTAAACCACAGACAAGGAAAACTTATTTTTCTTACAGTCCATTGTAACCATGCTTGTGTGACACAGAATTACTGAGCACCCATTTTCTGCAACGTACTTTCTAGGTGCTGTGGATGGCAGTGAACAAAACAGACAAAAATTCTTGCTTTCATACAGTTTGTATTCTATTAGGTTTCAGTAAGCATAATAAATAAGTAAACTATATAATAGTGAGTTAGAAGTTGGTAAGTGCTATGGAAAAAAACGAAAAGAGCCGGATAAGGGCCTAGGAGTACATACATGTGGGAACAGGCCATGCTGTCACAGAGTGTTCAGGGTAGGCTTCGTTGCAAAGGTGACAGCTGAGAGTGTTTTAATAGGGTGGACATCTTATTGATTTAATGTAATAATATCAGTGATTTTTTTTGACTGCCTAGTATATGTCAATTCTTGTCCCAAGTGCCTTATAATTCTCAAAAAATTCCTATAAAGTAGGTAACTTCATCTCATTACTATTATTATTGTCTTTTTACAACAGGAAAGCGAAGGCTTAGGTAAGTTAAGAACGAGGCCAAGATCACATAGCAAATACACAGCTGAGCAGGATTTGCATTTGGACAGCACATTCCAAAGCTCATGGTCTTTCCACCATCTTGGGTGTTTCCCAAGATGTGGTTAGGAAACTAACAGAATGCCCTGGAGGTGTTCATCAGAAAGCACAGGTTCCTGGGCCCTATCCCAGTGCTACTCGATCTGATCCACTTGAGTGTGGGCCCGGAATCTGAAGGTCGGACACCTTTCCTTGTGACTCGGCTTCACTCTCAAGTTTGAGAACAACCATCACATTCTGCTCCTAGGTCTTCGATAGGGTGGGCATGATGGTCGATACCACGACCTGCTTCCAGCTCTAAGATTTCCAACCCTAGGCCTGAACAGCAAACACTGGTGCAAAAGACTGTCCTTGTCAGACTCTTGAAATGTGTATCAGTCTTGAATGTAGGCACCTCTTCTGTATTGTGGGACAAAGCCAGGTTCTTTTCTGCCCTTTCCCATTAACTCAAATACTGGTCCCTTGGGAGAGGCAGTCTCAACATCAGGAAATGAAGGACGGAATTAACACTCAGAACAAACTTTGGGCCCCTGCCAAGCCTCTGTGGGTTTTTATATCCCTTCCATCAGTTCTGTGGAATTGCTGCCCCCAGGGTGCACTATGCCTTCAAGGACAAACTCACAGACACCTTTTCTAGCAAGTCTTCCTTTCTAATGCCAATGCGAGGTAATGGCTTGCTTTCTGAACCCACAAACCCTTCCAAGGACTGTGAACCTGCCCAACTGCTAACTGCCTTTAGCTGCCAGGTTCTGTCTGGCTTCCTCCTTCCTTGTTTGGAATTATTGTACTAATTCTGAAAGCGTCGTAAAAAAAATAACAAAAATAAAAAGGGAACAGCTATATACATGATTAAACTTCTGTCCACCCACACCAAACAGGTTTGCCAACCAGCCACCAGCTTTAGTATAACCAACTAGATTCTGAAATGCCAAATACACCAAGAGAATCTACCAAGTGATAAGATCCTTTCTCTTCTGTGTTTTATAGAAATAAAAGAGGTGAAGGCAGTGCTAGCGCATAGAACCCTGCGGATTCTACAGTCAGACGGGATCGTGGTTATCATTCATTCTAAGCTAATCCTTTGATAACTGAAGAAATAAAAATCTAAGAAGGTGAGGTTACATAGCTAATGTGTAGCAAAGACAGGACAATAGCAAAGCTTTCTGGCTGCACAGCCAGTTTGCTTTTCCCTGACCCAGGCTTGGGATCTTTGGCCCATCCCTCCTCTGACTGCTCCATGCTTTTTCTCAGTAATTCCCATAATCCCTCTAAGGAGATCAAGAGTGCTTACATTACTGGTTAGCTTACTCTGACAAAGGTGTCCATAATTCCCCCATGCCTGAGCTTTTCATATGTAGAAGGGGTAAAGATTATTAATATGGGAATCATATGTCACAGAACTACCACTGAGTCATTCGTTAATTAACCAGTATTTCTTGTCTTTCTAGTATGTGCCAGGCACAGGGGCGAGACCATAAAGAAAGTAGATGGAAATGGATAAAAATTCATCCTATCGTGGAGCTTACATTCTAGTGGGGAAAGGCACTACGAGCGGAAGTTAGAAAAGCCCTGTCTCGGTCGCGCGGGGGCTAAGGAGACAAAGCAGGGAAAGGGAGCGGGAAGTGAGGATGTACGTACGTGCCGGGGCACGGGCTGTGTTTCAGGCTAAGTGGCCAGGGAAGGCCTTGTTGAGAAGTAAAGGTCACAACTGGGGAACACAAATAGGAGTTACTACTCAGGAGAATCTCGACGTCAGTCTCTACACAGAACGGTAAACAAAGATCAGGGTTGGAAAATGTTGGAAAAGGAGTAAAACTGGTATCTTCTGCCGTTTAGTAGAACAGGTGGCAGGGAATGTGAAGGAGAGGACCGGCGCAATGAAAATGTCAGCAACTACTTTCAAGGAGGCCAAGAAAAGTTTTGTTAGCATCTGAGGTGAAAAAAAATGCCTGACAAACAGTTTGTGGTTTCATATAAAGAACTTTGCTTAGAATACAGAATTTAGAGAACAGAATTAAGAGGTATTGTTTTGTTAAAAAAAAATCTAAAGAGCATGACGTAATGCCGAGACTACTTGGCAAGATGATAATGTGACTTAAGACTTGATGAAAATGTTGAAAAATTCAGTCATTTGATTCATCCAAATATCTAATTAATTATGAGGATTTTGGCCTATGTGTGAAACTGACATAGAGTCAATGACAGATTCCATGTTTTTTGAGAGCCTATTGTGTGCAATACAGGGATGGTGCTTCGGAGACTCAAAGAGGAACAAGATACTGTTCATTCAGTGAACTTTTCACTGTAGTAAATCCATTTTCTCTTCCTCCTGGGCATCTGGTGGGAATACATTTCCCAGCCTCCCTTGCAGTTAAGAATGGCTTGTGGCTGAGTTTTGGCCAATGGGATTTGAATGGACATGATGTACATCCCATTTGGCTCATAAAATCCCAGGGGATTACAGAGTCTCAAGATGTAAGGAGCTGGGTCCCTAAATCACCACCTGGAAGGCTGTCTGCCAAACACCTGATTGAGCTTCATGTCCACAACCTATTTATATCTTTGGATTCAAGTAGTGAGATTTGAGACAGCTTGTGTTGCCCAAGTAATATTGATTAAGATTTGCATGGAATTTCACAATTTGCCAAATGCTTTCAGAGATCAAATGATTCTGGGAACGCTCCTGGGAAACAGGTCATATTTTAATTTTTTCCCGTTTCACAGATGCCGAAATTGATGCTTAGTTGCTTGGTCATGATCACATAGGTGAGATACAGAGGGCAAAGATTGGAAACCACTGGCTCTTACATTTACAAAAAATAATTGGCTTAAGACAAATATGGGAAGAAATCCAATGCAAGGCATTTGATAAATGCAGGACAAAATCTTCAGGAATCTCAAAAGGGGAGCTAGCACACTTGGCTGAAGAAGCGACAACAGGCTCTAGTGAAAGAGGTAAGATTGATGGTGAGTGCTTGTAAATCGACAAGAGAAATGGGAGAAGAAATCTGAAGAAAGTTCCTGTAACTTTTGATATGCAAGATGAGTGGTGAACAGAAATAGGAGAGAGTTGGCATTTGTTCTACTGTTTCAAGGGAAGTTGGAGCAAGCGATGCAGTTTTTTGAAGGAAAACAGGAACTGGTAATTCAATACAAATCAAAAAAATATTCATTGAGTGCCTGCCAGATGGAGGGCCTTCCAAAGTGTACAGAGGATACAGAGAGGAGATAACAAGGGCACAACCCATGACTCAAATGTGTTTATAATCTACTAAGGGAAATTGTCATAAATGACTGCAACACAATGTGCACTAAGATAAACATCAATTAGAACAGCAATGCGGTTCAAGGGACAGAGAAGTGACATGGGAAAGTGACATGAGAAGGACATGGGAAAGATAGGTGAAGGTTCATGGAGGAGGTGAAATGTCCAGATGAACCTTGGACGAGGTGCCACGCTGTGGACGGTTATGAATGCATGAATTCAGGAGGCCCACACAGACTTCCAAAAAGAAGGGTTTTGTCAATATTTTGAGAAGGAAATGAATTATTAAATGACTCCAAAACATGACCATTGTTTAGGGGGCAACAAAATGCCATTTATAATTTGGATATGTTTGTTGGAACCTGGAATCACAAACTTACAGTGACTTTATAGGCAGGTCAATTTCTATTCCTCTGAAACTGCTGGGCTTCCAGTCAGTTCAGCCAATGACTGGCACTACAGACCACATGCTGGTGTGCAGGGATTTCATCACACCACCAAGAGACCATCAACAGTCAGTTCACTGAGACGTCCTGACAAAGAAGGGCAACCTACCATGAACAGGGCTTCATAATTTTCAATCATTTTCTGCACCACCGCGATGATGGCTGTGCTCTCCTCAGCCCTGGCCGAACTCTGGACAGAGAACTCTTTGTCTGATGACTTCTGCTTGTGCAGCAGGTTGGGCCCAAATATGGTGGCCAAGTTTAGAGATGTCATTTTGTTCCCAGTGATCTATAGGAGCAGAGAATACAGGATTATTGCTACTTTTGTTTTTCAAAATGCTGGGTGGTTCAGTCATCAATGGCACCTTTACCTTTACATTTACCTTTTCTTTCCCTTCAAGTCCTACATTGTCTCTGGCAGAATCCATGAGGACCACTATTATTTTCCTTTTCTTCATAGCTTGGATTGAAGCTCATAGCTCAGTGGTCATTTCAGTAACACACTGAGTACAATTTTACATTTCTAAGCAATTTATTGTGAAACTGGTACTATATAAAATTTTTATCCTGTCTGCTCTTAAAAAAATATTGATGTCCATTCATCCACCCACCCATCCATCCATTGACCCATATCCATCCAGCCATCCACCCATCCATCCATCCACCCATTCATCTATCCCTTTATCCATCAATCTATTATCTCTCCATTAATCTACCCACTCAGCACCTATCAAAGGCAAGGCATTTTTCATGGATTCTAATGATTTAAAAATTTTTCTAACAATGATCCTTATGGACAACACAGTCCTTATTTTAAAGGCTTTGCATTCTACAGGGGAAATAAACTTATCATTTCTAAGTAGTGAGAACAGAGTATGAAGCTCTCAACTCTGAAGGTCACAGGGACATTCCAAAGAGATGGCAATATTAGCACAAAACAATGAAGGAAGAACAGACTTTGTTACGCTGAAAAGCAGAGAAGCTGGGGCAGGCGGCAATTTCACAGTGGTGAGAACTCCATATGCAAAGACAGAAGCGTGCAAAATATGTCAAGGTACCCGAGGAAGCTCAGTGTGGCAAAATTATCCCTGGTTGAAGACCACTGGTCTAGGTGACTTTTGTTTCTCTTGCTGGTGTTAGTTGAAAATCTCAGAATGCCTGGATAAGCATGGGAACTGCAGCTGCTTGGTGGGGACCCTTTGCCTGGGAAGATATGCATGGCCTTGGAGAGGCACTGGTGTACAGCACAGAATTTAAGAGACCTGACTCACAGCCAAGAGAGGCCAACCCTCCTGAGCGTCACTGTTGTCTTGTGGAGCCCTGAGCAGTGACCCCCCAGCCCTGCAGTCCCAGTGTGGCACTTGAGGGACATCGTTTTTAGAAGGGGAGGCTGTTTTCATGTTTGCCACCAAGAGAAATGATTTCACATGGTAAACACTAGGAATTTGTATGTACTACTGTTCAATTATTTTTTTCTTTGTTTTATTTCACTGATATGAAACCTGACCGGATTTCATTTTATTTTTCATTTCACTTCCTGGAAATTCATGGTTAAGGATGAAATCAAATATGTGCCATTTTCAAGTTCATTTCTTTAGAACTGAGAGGCATTTGGAGTGCCTCCCCTTCCCCTCTGAAAGTAATATCAGGGTTTTCTCTTTTTTTTTTTTTTGAGAACATTAACAAGTATATTTTGTTTTCTTTGAAAAGAATGTTTGGTACAAGGACAATCCAGACCTCTGTTTCCGCCCTCTCCTTCTCTTGTTGCTATTCTGGGACTGCAATACAATCCATCTGTAAAACTGTGCATAGATTCCAGCTGCAGACCTCGCTGTTGTGGTTTGTTAACGCTTTTTTGTTTTGTGGTTGACTGTTTTTTTATGCTGGAAAGGAGACTAGTTCAAAGCTCCCCGTGTTTCGGCATACATATAGCTCTGTCTGGGTAATAACGTGCACTTGGGGTAGGTTTGTTATTTAATTATTAGCCAGCCAATTCAAGGAAAAACCGTGTGTGGACTAAATAAGCATCCTCGGTCATTTCTAAACGTACTGTGAACTGCTCACATCTATTCATAGGTCAGCGTGCACAGTCGCCGGACTGGGGCTTTCCAGAGGCTGTTTCACTTCTTTCTCACCAGAGGCTCACAAAGCAGCCACTTGCTGTCCTTTTTCACAGATGGGGGAGGGATGCCCAGAGCTGGGCCGAGTGGTGGAGCCGAGAAGTAAAGCCCCATGGGGGGCTCCAGGCAGCCCTGGGCTCCTCACCGCCACCCACCTGCCACTGTGCATCCTGGCAGGGCAGACCCTGTCATAGCACAGGGAGACGGGACAACTCACTTCAAGGCGAGGCCCAGACCAGGGTGAGGAGAAGAGGGCATTGGGCCTGCTGAATTTCCAAAGCCAACGTCCTGCTTCCCAGAGGCGCACGCCTCCTCACAGGTCAGCAACCTCTGCTCAAAGCTGGTGCTTCGTAGCTTCACTTTTTTTTTGCCATATAGGCTCTTTGAAGAACTAAAGGCTAGCCGCAGTCTCTCTTAATGAAAAAGTGTATATTCACCCCACATTTTCCATGCAATGCCACAGGGTTCTTGGGTAACCTGAAAAACCATTGCTCAAGAGGTTTCAATTATGTGCCTGCAATATTCCTTCTAGAAGAAATGAAGTCTTTCTTACACTTGGGAATCTGTCTTTTCCCCTAAGGAGCAAAGCAAATGGCAAACTAAACAAAACAGACACAAGATAGCAAAGCACCGCAATTTGATAAAATACCATTATTTTTCCCCCAAGAAAAGCACTGACTGACTAGTCAGAAATTGTTCTCACACCCTGCTTTTAGATTTTAGACGTATCTTTGCAGATCCCATTTGTCACGGATGCATTGAATTGTAAGCACCTATTGGAAAGGAAATACTGTGTTCATTTTGTAGAGGAGGCGGCTCAGACCTCCCCCCACCCCAACTCTGTGCTCCTTCCTCTTTCTCTATTTTATAAAAACAAGGCCATATAGCAAGGCGCTGGCAGAAGCTTCACGAGCCTCCAAGCTTCTTGATGCTTTGGTGCACTTTCTTCCATGTTTCAATCCACAACAACTGCCCAACAAAGAGATAACACACCTAACAAACAGGTAAGAGAAAAAGTTGAAAATGGCTTTGTTTCTTGACCTTATTTTACAATTCGATTTTTGCCTCATTCCAGTCTGAATTCTCTACTTGTTCCTACCAACCCCACTAGAAAAATAATAAATAAAGAACCTCTCTCTTGTTCCTCTCCCCTTTTCTAACTTCCCCTGGAAGGGGTTTTTAGCTAATTCCCAATCCCTGTGCATTGCTTATTATCTGGTTACTCAATCCCTGCACGCCCTTTGGTGTCTAGTTTAAATTTAGTCTCCACAAAGCCATTCCTAAGTTTTCTGGCCCACGTCCTCTAAGTCTGTATCTGCCTTTTGTCCTCACCAATTCCACCTTCTAGATGCCAGAGCATCCCAGGAACAGTAATGAGAAAATTTCTGAACCATGCTCACTGGTTTAGAGGAGCTCAGGATATACGTGTTTCAAATAGGAAGGCCATTGCTCCATGGAGACATTTATAATGTGAATTACTGTTTTCCGTACTGCTATTCATACAAAAGCTTCCTAACTCACTCTTTCCCCATCTCTAGCCAATCTACAATATAGATTATATCACCTTAGTGGAATCCTTCCAAAGATTCAGTGCTTAAAGAATCAACCATCTCCCCCTTTATGAAGGCATTCAGTACTCTACGGGCATGGTCCTGTTTCCACTCATACCTCATCAGCACTTTCCCATCAGCCTTTACTCCAATCCAAGATGGCTGCTTGGGCTGCCTGCTTTCCTGTAACTTGTAACCATGTCATGGAAGCAAAGTTTTCCTCAGGTTTCCCCTGTGCCTTTAATGTCTGGTTACTATTTCTTCATTTTGATTCAAGGTTTAGGCCAAGAGTATCTAAAAACCCTTGTAATGTACAGTTTGCTGTTACCAGGATATTTTCGTGTTCCTTATAGCAAACTAGTTTTCCCAGCCACTGTGCAGTGCCAGTTGAAGAATTTTTGTTCCCAAAGTTCAGACACAGGGAGTCAGCTTTAGGAAAATTAATAGAGTTCTCCAAGAACACGTAATCAGTGGGTCAGAAAACTGTCCAGTGCTCTTAGCCAGGGCTGATTTTTCCCCCTCCTGTATTTGGCAATGACTAGGGACACTTTTGGTTGTCACAGCTGGAGTCGGGTAAGAAGCTGCTACTGGCATCAAGTGAGTAGAGCCCCAGGCTGCTGCTAAACATCCCATAATGCCCAGGGCAGCCCCACAACGAAGACTTAACCCCTGCTACCAGTGTCAATTGTACAATGAGCTAGGCTCCCGGTGGAGGCTGTCTCTACTTTCTATCTGATATTTCTGTTCTCACTAAGTTAGACTGGTTTGCATTTGATGCACAGCTGGGGCTTTACTAGCCCTTGGACTGACCTGACCACTATCCAATATGACAACTTTGCATGAATTAGAAAATGGTGCCCCTTTCTCAAGACATTTTCCTGCCATCTGCAGGGATACTGCCCTAGTGACTCAACACGTCTACAGTGACTATGGGGTCCATGGTGCCCTCCCAGAGTTATGAAATGCACAAACGTGCAACTTGCACGACCCTAAGTGGAGCTACCCATGGGACACTGGGTAAGTCACCTAGCCTTCCAAACCCTCAGTTTCCACCTCTGAAACACGGGGCAATGACATCTTTCTTGTGAAATGGAGGATTGCCTCTAAGACGCAAAGCCCCTAGTGCTTAGCTGGCACGCGGTAGGAGACACAGAAATGGTAGTTAATATTTCAGGACTGTGGGTTCCATTTGCACCCATCCAAGAATGTTTTCTTCTCTTTGGCATAGGCACGGAGTCTAGTTTAGCATTTGGACTGAAAGAGTGTCTGAAAATGATTCTAAAAACACAAGAGTGAATTCCGTTGGATGGACCACTTTCCACAATGCCTTCTTAATCACCTCAGACCCGACTTAACCCTTCTCACAGGGTACTTAAGAAATGTCAGAGAAGCAACGGACATACCCAGGAACACAGAGAGGGCTCCGCCTTTGCCCAGTGATTGAGCAGATGATTCTACAGCTTCTGTTCCACCTATAGTTGATAAAGGATGACACCTAGACAGATAATATCACAACTTAACAATTCTGAGAACTATAGGATATCCATGGAGGAGCTGTGTCTGCTTAAATAAGGTGTCAGGGACATGTCACAAAAGATGAAGCCAGCAGAGGTTTCACTAATGATAACTCGTAGAGAGAGAAGTGGCTAACCCAGGAAAGTTCCCTTCTCACGCCAAGAGGGAGGGTGAGGATAAGAAATGCAGAATTGCCTTTCTGGATTAAAGTGAAAAAAAATATATGACCGTGACTTTTGGGAAAACAAGTTGACTAACACAGAACTGGATCTATAACTGAAGCTGAGTTCTGCTTGACAAGGATTTAAAAAAGTTCCTGTAGTGAAGTCAGCTTGGAGTGCCCTTGGTCCCCCCTTGTTGATTTATAACGCATGTTAGCACACGGAAGGGTCTGAGACCTCCAGGAGAATCCAAGGTCAAGGAGAGGTATGAATGCATGGTATCAAAAAGGGAAACAAGTCTCTTGTTAGACGAAGATTAAATGGGTCGCTTTATAAAAATTCACCTAAAATCGAGGCCAGCATCTCCTTTGTCCAAAGGTGAAACTAAAAAACACCTTGAGGTGTATAAGTGTGACCAAAGAGAACCAGAGCCCAAGATCTCAGATGGGGGTGGCACCAGGGCCTGAGTGGGGGCCAGGTCCAACAACAACATCCCCAAAGGACCATGGGCTGTGCAGAACCTGTCTACAGCAGTTGACGCTGTGTGGTGTCAAGATGCACGGTGATGGTCAGCAGGTTGGAGCTTCCAGTTCCCTCTACACCTCATTTGGAAGCAGGGCTGACCTTCCATTGTACTGAGCCAGGCCCTATTTTGCAGGCAGGCTTTAAAGGAGAAAAAGGAACTCTTGAAAGGAAAGAACTAGATTTCTAGCTATCGGGCAGATGGCAGCTCTGGGCGCAAGCTGGAAAAACAATGAGAAGATGTTGTACTTGGGCCCCAAGTTAAAGCAGATCAAATTAATTACAAGGACAGCAACCTTCCCAGTCTCCATCACTCCATTTTGTCATGACTGTAAGCACCTCTTCAGCTCACTGTTTTGTCTTCTTCACACAAATGGAAATTCGAGTAAAGCACCCTTACGGAAAATGACAGCCTCATTTGGAAGCCTTCTTCAAACAGGAGGTTAAGGGCCTGCACTCTTAGGGACTGTCCCTCCACAGGAAAGGCTGCACTCACTCCCCTTCCTGCATAGACACCCAGGCCGGGAAAGGGCAGCTGTCATTCTGTCCAGGTGAAATGTTTAACCGAACTAATAGCTCCCCCTTTAAAACAGGACGAAAGAAGAGCCCCGGAGTCCATGGCAGCAGAGGGGTGCCTACCTCTTGCCCATCTTTGCTGACGTTGTCACTGGCATGCCTGGCCACCATGGAGAGGAACTGGAGGAGGCGGTGGAGTGTGTCGCAGTTGCAGGGAGGCAGAAGGTAGATGAGCAGCTGCAAGGTGCCCAGCTGTTCCTCGGGCTCCAATACTGTGTGAGGCAGAAAGAGGTGCTCTCAGTAAGCAAAAGGGGGACCTCCACCACTCAGGCCTGGGGGAGAGGCCCCTCCTCACTGTCCTCAGACAGGGGTCAGCAGGGCAAGTCACATTGCATTCCATCACCCACTCTCCCGTTGGCTTAGCGATGTAGCAGCGAGTTCCATGAAGGATATAAAGATACATCAGACCCGGGGAAGTGTGACATGGACAGAAAGCAATCAAGTCCAGGCATTTCTTCCCCTCCTTTCCCTGGCAGTTCTCATCATTTACTTTATGGACTGCAGTCTTTCATTTTTGCTCAATATTTACCAACAGTGACTGAGAATTGGTGAACATTCTAAAACTTGGGTTTATAACAGATTTGAGGCCCTCTCCTGTTCAGCACTCCCCAGGGGCTGACTTTTATTGGCAATGACCAAGACACAGCACAGTGACAGTGTCTTCTCTCTCTTGTGTGATCTTATTTTAATTGTAGCATTGGAGGAATGAACACATGGGGCTGGTGCAGGGCTGGCCTACTCCTCCGCCCCTTGCCCTTCTTTTCTCCTCCTTGGGGTCTGTGCCTATAGCCCTGCAACAGCCACACGGGGGTTTCTGGCACTGGGCTATGCCATCCTGCCTCCCTGGCATGTCGCCTGCCCCCGTTCCTTGCTCTGGGTTCCTGTGGCTCCCTCCTTCCTCATACCAGAAATGCAAACTCATTGTTCAGCACAGACTCAATGTGACCTCTCACTGTTACTCCAAAGCCTCAATTTATAGTACTTTCTTCTGCCCTACAATCATTTGAAAGCATCCCAAATTATTCTTGGCTACTTCCATTTGTTTTTTTGCAACTTTCTTCTGGCCAATTCTCCCCAGAGCTAGTCTCAGAAAAGTCCCCAAATAGCCCACTGATTAGAGACCAGTATATAAGGACAAAAAGAGTTACGGGGAAACACATGCACAAGGTTTGGATGAGTTAAATGTGCTGGAAGTCCCAGGGCACAGCCCTGCAAATGGCTGGATTACGCACACAGAGTATTGATGAAAGCCGTGTACAGCTCCCTGGTGAGAAGGGGGTCCGGCATGTCCCTCAGGAACTCCTTCAGCAAGGCCGCCACATCGTGAACGCTGTGCTCTTCCTCCAGAGACACATCGACTCCACGGTCAAATTCCTCACGCAACTGGAAAAATCACAGTTCAAGTGGCAGCCTCGTAAGAGCAAACCTCAGCTTCAGAGCCCAGCGAAGGAAGCCCTGGGGCACGCAGCATCTGCTACTAAGTTTATGCCGACCCGAGCAGCAGCAAACCACATCGCCTTGATCTCTACAGTCTGTACTACCCAGCCATGAATACACATTTACACGCATTCTTAAATAAAAGGATCTGTGGGTTTACTGGTAATGAGGCAAGCAGAGGGGCTCAATAACGACATCCAGAAGGTTCAGAGGAAGAGCTGAGGGCTTGGGTCAATGCTAAATGTGGGAGGGAGAAATTCATCTATTACACAGCAGTTCGGCATGTCAGCAGGCCTACCATGTTGGATTTTGACATTTTATAGAAATACTCAACAAGAAGCAAAGAGATTTTTCTGCAAACAACGAAATTAGAAACCCCAATGAGCAATGCGTGGCTAAGGCTTGAAAGAGGACAATAGCGAAATAAAAGCTGCCTTCAACTTGTCAAAGTAGCCTTATTAACAATTCCCGGAAGTTTTCCCTGCCTTAATCATTATATTAGGTTTTCAGCATTCACAGCAGCAGGAAAATGCAACAGCAAGAAGAGAACAGTCATAACTCCGTATCCTCCTTTCCATGCCAGCAGCTCACCTTCTCTTATGTGCTGTTCTCTGCTGCAGAAGGGCTGCGCTGTGCAAAGGGCTTGGTTTAAATTGCGTAATCCTGAATTTAACACTGACCGGGAATTCGATACTGGTCAAATCGTGTGAACTTGAATTAAGTTTCTTAATTTCTCTAAGCCTCAAAGGAAGTGGGTGAAGGGGCTACTCTCACAGCTGCTGGGCGGATTCAGTAAGATATTGTTTGTGAAAATAGGCTGCAATTCTGCAGGTGAGAAGCCTCCTAGCTTCCTTCCAGTAAGGCCTGTTGTGAAGTATTAAATGTTCAATAGTCTCTTGTGTGACTATTAAAAATAAAAACCAACCAAGCAAACAGAAAACATACTTCCTTTGAAAGCCCCTGTTATCCTGACAAAAAAGGTAGATGAGGAGGCATTTATTTCAGTTAGTTTCAATAATACAAACAAGAATCACTTCTTCAGCTTCCTCCAGCTAAGAATTATTTTCAGTTGGCTTCACTTTTGAGTTGCTGAGTTCCTTACTTCTTTCATTGGAACCAAGAGAGGGAAAATAACATTTTAGCTTTCTTTTAGCCAACAAAGGAATTCTTTTCTCAAAGGATGGTTCGCCTTTAATGAAGCCGTCATGAACACAGACAGCAGCCCGATCGCGGGAACCTCTTCCTGAAGACCTAATATCGAACTTCGGTTGCAAGACTGTTGCACAGTGCTGAGGAAAACCAAAGGGTACAGTCCCTTCCGTGAAAAATGTAGGTTTCATGGAAACTTCATAAGAGTGCTTTACTTTGGGGAAAGTAAAGCTATAAACATAGCATCTTATATAAAGAGAATGTTAATGGCATTCATACTGCATTTTCATAAAAATGCATGTTATACAAGTGTTTTCTATTTATTGTCACCTACTGTTTAGGTATTCTCCGAATCTGCCGCTTTTCCAATTTCAATAAGAAGCTTATAGATCAGTTCTGTTTGGCCGTACATGCCATGGACATGTCCAGATATTTTGCTTTCAAGTGGTTGATGCTAACTCTCACAACTTCCTGAGCCTCTGAGTTGCTGACTTTGACCTCTCGAGACTCCATTATACTATAATCAGTGGGAGGGTACAGAGAAGATATTCAGAAATGAATCTGCATAACCTTGAACTTTGCACGAGGTAGTTCAATTGAAAGTCACGTGAAATGTATGATCTAATCTTCACTTGTCACTTACTTGTCTCACTCTCTTTTTTGAGCTTCCAACTCGGAATATCCCCACTGTCTGGAGGCCTGCAAATAAGCAAACAAAATCAACAGTCCTGTTTTATGGACTTGAAGCTTGGGAGGGGATCAAAACGGAAATCGAACAGGACACCAGCACCGTGCGGCAACATATACAGCAACAGTAATGTGGCAGTGTGAGCCAGTGCTTATTTAGCCCAGACCGTCTCTCCAGGTAGCCAAAGGTTAGCCATTAAAGCACCAACATTTTATGTTAAATGTTCCTGATGAAAATTTTTTCATGTGATATTATTATGTATTACCATACTTTTCCATATTAAAAAAGTGATTTTCTTCATTATTCGGAATTACTTAGGCAGAAATTTTATGACTTTTTTGCTCTTTGTCAATTTAAAAAATAGTATTTCTTGTTTTATGAATAATTAAAACATGCTTATTAAACAAACTCCATAAAATGCAGAAATATTTAAACAATAATATATTTTAAAAAATATCTGCTGTGGAAATAAACACTCTTAATGTTTTGGTTTATTCCATGCAGTCTTTTCTCTATGAATAAATATATGTGTTTTTCATAGTTGAGGAGAGAAAGTGCTACTGCTTTTTATGAAGCCATCATGAACACAGTACCTACTTGATCATACGAATCTATTCCTGAAGGTCTAATATCAAACTTCTGTTGCAAGAAAGTTGCACAGTGCTGAAGTATGAGTACAGATATATAGAGAGAGAAATGCTACTGCTTTCATTCAATACTATGCCACAAGAATTTTTATGCCTGTTAAAATTCCTTGCAAATGTCATTTAAAATGGATGCAAAATACTCTCTTGTATGAATGTGCTACAGTTCCCTTCTGATGGCATACAGGTCCCCCACATACACATGCACTTGGTTTGCTATTATAAATGGCCCTCTTATGAACAACTCTGTGCATAGGTCTTAGTTCACAAATCTGATTTTAGGGTCATGTCCTAGAAGTGGGATTAGAGGGCCCGTGAATAAGAAATGTCAGGAGTGCTGAAGCTAAGAAACCTTGTTCTAAAATATTAAAACAAATTTGTCTCTAAAAACAGACAAATAATATCACTATTACACATTAAAAAATTCAACAATAGTCCCTTCATAACATTACATCTCCAGCCAATATTCACAGAAGACTCACCATGATAGGTCAATGTGCCTTTAGTCTCTTAATGTATGTGTATGCTTTCCCTTCCCTGTTTATACTTTTTCCTCATAATTGGTTTCATGAAGAAATCACATTGATTTCTCACGCAGATTTCCTCACTGTCTGGATCTGGACACTCTGTGGTAACACTTATACGTTCCTCTCTCCCTTTTATTTCTTCTACAGAAACAGAGCCAGAGTTTTCTCTGATTCAGGTTTGCTTCTGGGGGCAAGAATACTTCATACGAGGTATTATGTACTTCCTTCAGGGGGCACAGAAGGTCTGGATGGGTCTCCTCTTCCTATGCAAGCCATTAGTCATGGCCACTGATGACCATTATCTATGTTTATTCTTTCATTGGTGGCTCATTGTGTCTTCATTTGGGACATTCAGTTATGAGGGTAACACTGGATTGGAGCTGCCAATGGACATTTTGTAGCCCTGGGAAGTGAAGAGAGCTGGTCTGAGAGTAAAGCAAGTGAACAGACTCATCCGCTCCTGAAATCATTTGAATCCTAGATCCAGTTGTGCCTGAATATATATATATCATTATGAAATATAATATTATATATATTATATCACACTCAGAGTTCCAGTATGTAAATAGCCATTTGGGGCAGGGGGGTAGAATAGGAATTTTGCTTAATCGACCTTTACCTGTATTCCTCTCTCTTGCCATTGAGAGAGTTCTGACTAGTACAATATATAATTAAATTGGAAAGAATTTAAGTCTTCATAACATTATTTCTTTCCATCCAGAAACAAAGTAAACATCTTAATTTATTTAAGTCATGTTTTATGTCTCTTGGTAGTACTTTGCAGTTTTCTTCATAGACATTTCTCACTCTTATTAGAGATATTCTGGGTATATTTTGTTTTTGATATTAATATTAATAATTATTTTATTGTTATAGTACATAACTGATTAGTGCTCTTATATAGGAAATGAATATCTTTTTGTATACCTACTTTATGGTATTGCTACCTTATGTATTAAGTATAAGATTTCTTTAGTTGGTTCTCCAGGGTTTTTTAGACAGAAAAGATAACATCCATAAATACTCTCATTTATCAGTTCCATGTCTAATGAGTGGCATGCGGGACTTCCAGAAGAAGTTGAGAGAGTCACGGTGAGTGGCTAAGCATTGCTGATTTGCATAAGCACACATTGGTGCTTTGCTCTTGGGTGGCATTTTGCTTTACTATTTACAAAAGACTTCTGTACCCTTCTTGTTGCTGCTGTCAATTTGTCTGCCTCACAACTGAGTCCAGCCGCCAGCCTAATTTACTGCCTCTACCTCTCTGGGAGCTGGAAAACAGGGTATCAGGCAACTTAGAATCAAATCCAGAACTGCATTTCTTCATCTGCAATCTACGCATAGTAAGTGTTGACCTCAAAAGCTGTGTAATGATTCAATTAATTAATGCATATAAAATACTTAGAATCGCATCAGGTATTCAGTATTACACAGAGACAAATGGGTCCTGACTGAACTGAACGAGTCTTTTTTGTGCAAAATAGAACACTTTAATATAATAGTAGGTCTTAGCTATTTTAATTTTGGCTGCATTTAGTTTCTTAGTTTTCCAATGGTTTCCAAAGAGCTTAAATTTCTACAGAAGTGAAATATCACATAAGGACCTTTTCTACACAAATGGGATGATTCATTTGGCTGAATTCCTCCTGGCTGTTCAGAAATGCCCATTTCTATGACATGATTTCCTTGGTTATAGTACTTTTCCACTTGGTAAAAATGACTGTGATTTTAAGAATAACTAGTTAGTGATAAATTGTTATAATTCCTATGTATCCCAATAGATTATAATCTGTTTTAAGTTTTTAAAAATAATTAATTTATTCATTTAGTTTTAGGTATTTAGGTAGAGCAAATGACAGCCTTCAGACAATCAATGCCATTCTCTGGCATAAGCTTTACAGTGATTTTCCTCAAAGAGAAGACACAGTCTAGGCATTCAGCAACCTGACTTGAGACAATCAAAACAGGTGCACATCAAGAAAGGCCTAAGATATGGCAAAGAAACGTGCCTTTGCCACATCCTGTCCCAGAAACTGATATGATCACCTTTCTCTCCCTTTAATCAGAAAAGGAAATGCAAACTGGACCTGGAGTACCTGAATCTCAGGCTTAGGGAATTCATGTAACAGGGGCAGGCATAATAAATAGGGGAGCCCACCCTAAAATCACCCTACACCCCAGAAATTAAATAATAGAGTTTGACTCTCCATTATATTATGTTTTTTTTTTTTTTTTTGAAATTTGCGCTTCTGGGAAATTGAGGATGCTAAAGGAACTTTGACCTATCACTACAGAAAGCATCTGGGTCAAAGACAAGAGTGGAAGGCTGGTGTACACAAATATAGACGGAGCCACCATTATGGCCTCAGACCAGTTTTGGAGAGAATGAAACGATCTTGACAAACGTTCATAAGGCTGAAGTGAACCTAACTCTCTACTACCTCTTTTAAAAACTGGCAAGCAAAGTCTTACAAGAGAATTGTTCTTGAAGTTTGCTCTTTTCTCATTGGTTTAAAGTGACCAATATTAATATCTGTTTGAACAAGAATGTATCTCTCATTTTCCTTTGGCCACTTGGACTAAACCGCATGGGAACCCGGAACAGCATCCAGGCCTTGAGAGTCACTCGGGCGCTCTTCCTTCCTTGGGACCTAAACGGCATCAACTATTCCAAAAAAGAGAACTGGCCCTTTCTTAGTAAGCTTAAAGGAAATGCTATTTTACAAATTGTAATTCATGACAATTTATTTTCAGAAGGAAAATAGAAAGACATACCAAGTTTTCTTTCTTGAAAGCATTTAACCTGGCACTAGATTTTTGCATGATTAGAGTAGAATTTTCTCATTTAGAATTCTTTAAAACGCATACAGTTCAGTCTCTACATTCTTTTCAGGGAAAAGGTATAACTATAAAAGTATGAGTCTCTTTTTCTACACCATAGTGAAATTTAGGCTGAATTTACATACTCACAATACTGAACTCTTTAGTCCCTAAGCTATTTTTAAAAATAGTTCTGTTCAAGTAATATTTATTGAATATACTAAGTACTGGGAATTCAAAATGACTAAGACATTTTCCTTGACTTCCAGTTTACCTTCCAAGGAGAAGAGATAAACACATGCACATACATGTATGTATGTACACACATGTATACATATAAAATTTTTGTGTAAACAAATAAAATCTTAGTACATATTAATTTGATTAAGTCACCCATATGTTATCTAGTGATTTCCATATATAATGAGATGATTAAGAGATTTAGGTATATCCTTAATACTTTTTTATCCAGTCCCACTTTTACCAGAAAGGATGCTAACAGTATTATGTCTACAGGATAGCCTCAAAATTTTCTTTGTTTTTCAGGTGTTTTTTTATTACAATGAGCATATTATTTATACAGTAAACAATTCATGTAAACAACACTTTCCTCATGACCATAAAATACATACTGACACTATAGCAAACAAATTCAGATTATGGAAATAGCAGTTTGATGAGCCAAAAGTCTCTATTTCAAAAGTTTTAAAGAACTGTACATCATTTTTAAGTCAACATATTAACTGGAACTGAGCTGCCAAAAGGGTCATTGTGAATAAACTTTAAGTGGACATTTTCTGCAAAAATGCAAATGGCAATATAGAAACCTGTTGTCAAAAACTATGTATTTTCTATTCACTTTAGGAATGGTTTCCCAACCTCTGGTGTTTAAAAAAAAGAAACTGGAGTGTTATTTTTTAAAGGGAGCCTTGTGGGTAACACCAATGTATAAAAAAGATAAAAGTGGCTCTGCTCCCTTTGAAGGGGGTCCTGGGGACAGACCAGCCCAATAAATCTTGCCTTCCCCTGAAGTGCTTGGCCTCTAGGGTCACTGCTGAGGACCCCTGGGGCCTCGGCAATCTGAATACCATCAAGCTGATTTCTTCTCCCCTGTCTGGTTTGGTCCAGTAATCTCTTGAGCAAGCACTCACATCTGTAAACTTTCTTCACAAGGGAAATTTTAGCCCAGAGCCTGATGAAATGGACACAGAATTGAAATTGGGTGCTTACATAGATGATGCTTGAATAAAGAAAACCTTTAGTACTTGAGTGCTGACAGACAAGTCTGCTTACCATGTTTTTCTAGATGTTGACAGCAGCTGTCCACCAGCCGGGGGACCTGTCTGTAAATAGGATTCAGACTAAGTTTCTTATCTCTGGATTTTTCTTTCTTATTTTGAGCCTCAGCAGGCAAGGAGAGTTGTAAAGCTTCTAGCAGTCGAGACTGATTGTCATCAAGATCTGTGATCGAATCCACTGACATTGCACCCTGGAAATTATACACAGACATGAACAAAGAGTGCAGACACTGAAAATAAAAACAGCTTCCCCCAGATGTTATCCAATAAATACTTTTGCCCATGACTATTTATCATACTTGAAATGATGCTGCTTGATTTAATTGTGCTGTTTGTATATTCAAAGGAAAAAAACAAACACCTTTTGAAAAAGGAAATGTCTACAATATGGGACAAGGTAATGGCAGTTACGATTTCAACAATAGACAACATTTTCCAAATGGAAGACAAGAGATGACAAACATATAATTAAAATATTTGACCCAACCACTTCATTTCTTAAAACAAACAAACAAAATCACATACTCAGTGACTGAGGTAAAGTTAGAGAAGTCTTGTGAATTAAAAAAAAAGACTCAACTAGGATTCAAGGAAGTAGATTTTTAAAGCAGGAGGATTCCACAAAACAGTCTTGGTTTGTGTCCCCCAGAAGCAGCACAAAGTATGTTATTAGGGAGGTAGTCCAGGCACACGGCTGTGAAGGAGTGGGGAAATGAGAACAGGAAGGGAAGGCAGCCAATGAAGGGGGCATCACTGAGGCTGGACAAGCCTGTGGGGAGCTGGGGACCTCTGGGAGACAGTGCAGATCAAGCACCTCAGAGCTCTCCCTGCTGAGGAGCAGTGAGCTTGTTTATTTATGTCACAAGTTACAAGAGTCACTGATTAAGGGCAGCTTCCAGTAGGGGCACGGAGGTGGTGGTAATGCCTCGCCACTTGCAGCCTGGCAGCTGCATGGGGGGGTGCCTCTGGCCATCAGAGAAAGGCCTCAGCAAAGAGATGAGGTGTAGCAGGTAGAGGGAGGGCTGGCATGCTGGGACTGCTAAAGGCTGAGGGTGAGGGAGCAGGGCACCCAACGTGTGTGTAACTACCCATTGTCTGATGAAGTGTGGAGGAAGATGTTGGCTGCTGGCGCCCTAGCAAGGCCCGGATAGAGGAGAGGGCATTTGGAAGGCCCATTGCCGCCCTAGATTCCCAGAGAGCTCAAATGTAGCATTTTGGTGTTATTGCCATATAGGTGTATACACAGTGTGAGAAAAAATGACAGGATTGGAAGAACAATTCCTTCATGCAAATCGAAATGTTCCATAATGTCATTTCTTCATTTTTAAACATAGCCAAGGCCTTGAAAAACAGCAGTGGCTTAGGCACTCCTCTATCTGGGAGAGGTCCTAAATATTGGGGGCTGATTGAGAAATGTGGATTTTAAGTAGGAAGTGTCTGGGGTTGTAACTAGGCAATCGTTGATGGCTGGAGGTGGCAAAGATTTAGAGCCTCCAGGTGGGGAAAAGGAGAGCTCTCCCAGTGACTGAGGAAGTTTTAGAGATGCTTATCAACTGATTCAGCCAGTTTGCATGAAAACTCAGCTTTCCTGGGTTGAAATGTGAAATCTGAAATGCCAAATAATACCACAGTGCCTAGAACATAGGGCTGATTTAAAAAATGGCACCACAGTGTTACAATATGAATTTGAAACAGGATATATACATTTTTCTATTGATATTCCATTGATAAGAAAAAAACCTCATTGTTTATGAAGACTGGTAGCCGATTCACTGGGCCAGGCATGGTTCTTGGACTGGAGATGAGGAGAGTAACAAAACCACCTTGCCTGGCCCTCCGGCCTCACTGTCGCATGGGAAAGTCTGGGAATATAACAGAAGATTACAGTACCGCAGGATCAATGGTGATGTTGCAGAATGTTTAGGATATCTTGGGGCACATGGTTAACCAAGGAGGGGCACCTAACAGCTTTGAGAGGGGTCAGGGAAAGGCTTTGGGGGTGTGCCAGGCACCATATGGCCAGAGCAAATTCTCCCCAAATGACATTTTTGACAGATACCTGGACTACATTTCTAGTTTTCACAGGAGCAAAGACTCAGTGAATAATCTTATAACTCTTCCATTGTCCTAGCAATGGTGTCAGACAACATACTGGCTAACTCACCCTTCTCCTGGCCCGAGGGGCTGGCTCTGGGGTGTTTGGGGATGTTGACTCATTTGGTGTTTCCGAGGTGGAGCTGAGAGATGAGTTACTGCTTGAGAGTTCTTTGTTTTGTCTTTTGTTTCCAAATGGGAGGAGGGAAGATACAAAATCGGATGTGTCCTTCTGCTCGTCCCTCTGTGAGTCCTGCTTGAGTTTATAGGCCCGGTCATTGGCAATGACTTGGGATAAGGGCATTCCGAATGCTTGCGGGATGAATTCTGGAATCGAAACACAAACACTCATTTTCAGAGAAAGACTGGACCAGGGAAGGCTCTCACTCATGTTTTAGACCTAAGCAGACATATTCAGATGACTGTTTTCAAGAGTTGATTGATCCATCAAAATAGAGAGATAACTTTTATGTCTATCAGAATGTTTCTATTTCAGTAAAGAAAGCTAGTACGTATAAAGAATAGGGTTTTAGAAATCAAGGCCTCTTAGTTTTTCTCCACGTATCTCAGGTATGCTTTAAAATAGATCATTTTATAAAAGAAATCATTTTAAAAGAAATAATGTGACATTTCTGATAGGGTGTACATAACACTTTATCCTCACGAGTACACAATTTAACCAACTGTTAGTCTTTGATTTCTACGTCTCAAGAGCTTACGAGGCCTGAGAAGACCCTGCCTTCTTTCAACAGGCACTTAATGAACACCTACCATATGCCATGTCAAGCTAGGCAATGGGTGGCACAAGGCTCATAAAAGGTCCCGTCCTTGCTTTTGCAAGGTTCAGACTGTGGGGTGTGTCAGGGAGTGGAGAGCCAGATAGGCTGATGATTCTGTCCAGTGTCTGTGGTAGAGAGAGGTACTGTAACAGACAGACGCATGAAGTGCAGAACTGGAATTCAGGTGAGTGCACACTCTTGGGCGTTCCCAGGAAAAGAGCCAGCACAGGAAATGATAACCTGAGAGGCACAGGAGCAGCGTGGGAAGAAGCCTACTCTTTTTCCTTTGTCTTCCTTATGCCCCCATTGTGCTTCCAGGTGCCAGGTTGGGGCTGTCACTTGCATGATCTATACCAAGTCATTCTGCCGGCCATGTGCAGAAGTGAACTCTCACCATTAAATATCCAGTGAAGGGCCCAGGATACAATTTGTTAAATCCTCTAGTAAGGACAACTTTGGGGAAGGAACATAAAGCAGAAGGAATCTATGACTTGACTTGGAGATGTACATACAGTTGCTTTCTGCATCTCCGCAGTACATCCATTTGTCTACACATACACTGTAAGCATGCTGATTCTTAGGGCCAGACATTTTATTGGCAATATTTTAGATTCATGCTGAAAAACATTAATAATTAAATTAAGTGCATTATTTCTTTTAGACTCCAAATTACATCTCCTTCCAGCAGAAAGTTGGAGGCTAGCCTCTCCCTTGTTTTTATAACCCGTATGAATAAAACTAGAATGATCAAGGGAAAACAATTCTAAGGTTGTTCACTCTTTGAAAGAGAAAGCTAACATCAAATCAGGTGGAAAGAGGCTTTAAAAGGTTTTCCTCCTTGATCCATGGGCAACATTTTGAACATCACTGGGCTAATGGCCAAGTTTACATGAAAAGCAGAAATGGCACTTGGAAAGCCTGTTCCTCTGGTTCTATCAAAACACGCAGTTTGTTTGGAAGTGAGAAGTCAGAACCTCAGCATCTGGGGATTTTCAGAGGATGCTTAACCATACTTTATCAACAAACTGGGTGGCATACGGTAACAGAGAAACATAATTTCGCCATGTGATTTGAGTGTTCAGTGTGGACAGCGTAGCAAGATCCAGTACTCGCCACAGGTGGAAGGCCATTCCCACTACTAGCAAATTCAGAAACCAGAAGGGGACAGTACCAGACGGCCTGCTGTGCCCTGCAGGATTTACTGTGCAAACCAGCGTTGTCTTGTCTATGGGAATAATCCGAGTCTTACTTTCAAAAGGTTGTGGGAAGTCTAGGGCATGTGGATGGCACGGCCAACTACACGGAGCATACAAAAACTGGTGGGGACAGTAACGGCAAAAAGGACATAGATAAACCTGTCGAGTGACATGTGTGTGCTAGTGTGGGCATATTCAGCAGGGGTTTCATATGAGATGGGACACTGATTCCTCTCCCAGACATTGTTTCCATATAAGGAAAACCTACCAGACTTGTTTAGAGATTTCTAAAATCCTGGAGAAAAAAATAAAAATGGTTTCCTTTGGCATCTGCCATTTTAAACATGTAATAGTCTGTCACTCTACTTGGAAATTCGAATACCTGAATACAGATTCAACAGATGGAATACATGAAGTGATTCTTCCCAGTTTTTATTTCTCTTTTATTCCCATTCCAGGGATGTAGCCACCTATAACAAATTTTTATTTCTCTCTTTCCTGGCCGAGCTTATTTCCTCTTTCAGTGGTAGAGTTCTGATCTAGTCTCTACTTTCTTGGTGTTTTCTCCTGAGAACCCATATGAGCTTCACAAGGGAGATTTCTCTAGGCTCCAAACTTGTTTTGTGGTGTGTAGTCTGTAAAATTCTAGGCAGGATTCCTTGACTATTATGGCTTCTCAAAATATGGCTATTGTGAAATTGAGGACGCAGCACAGTCCACTGAGCAAAACCCACTTTCTGTGTAAACAAAGTGTAGGGCACACAAGCTTATCTGTGGGTTCAAAGCTCTTCTGTTAGGGGGAGAAAGGAATTGAGAGAGTCTGGGTTGAGAATGCCTAATAATGTTGATAATAGGTTTTTAAAGCCATAAGGACATTACCCGAGACTCTCTGTTCTGGGGCCAGGACAACATGTTTCATGTTCTAATCTATAGTGTGAGCTCACTGCAGAGATTGTCTGCCCTGCTGTCCTCATTAGCAGGACTGTCTACCCTCCCTCCTCAGGAGCCGTGGGGCTAGGGGGTCGGCATGCCATTGTCCTCTCTGCTCCCTCTGGCGCCACCCAGACCTTGCCCTTCCCCTGCTCACGCCTATCTTCTCTTGCCACTGACTTTGACTCACAGTCAGACCCGCCAATCTACCATCATCCTGGGTGGCTTGGAGGTCTGCCTACCTAAATGACCCATCTGATGCTCTGTCCTCACATGTCCATGACCTTGTCCTCTCTTACTTTTCCTGCATGCCACCTCCTTCAGCCACTCCTCAGTCTCATCCTGGACCTTGCCCTCACTGGAAATGATTCTACCTCTGGACTCAGGCTTCCTCCCTCCAGTCTTGTCCCACCACCACCCCAAGGTCATGTCTTAGGGTGCAGTGTGGCAATCTGTTTAAAGACACCCAAGTCGTTCCCTCCTTAATACCCTCCGCTGGGGTCTCAGTGCCCTTAACATGCAGACCAAAAGCTGTACTGCAGCCCACACAGCCCTGCGGGAGGGAGGCCCTTCCAACTCTCTCCTGGACTCTCACTCACCCTGGTTCTTTCGTCTCCAGTAACAGAGCTCAGTGACAGTACTCAGTACACCTTCTTTGAGACTTTCTACATAGGGATAACATACTTGATTTTCAACTGCTATTTAATATGACACAAAATAAACATATCAACTATTCCTATAGAGTGCCACTCCACAGCTCACATATAGCAACATACCTAGACAGTGGGGAACAGTAAAACATGTGTGATGTGGTTTCAGCATAAAGAAAGGTGCCAGACTTGAACCAGCTCCAGACTTTATGCCAATAAATATATGGCATAATCTGAAAATATCCTATGGAGAGGGCACCTATCTCCCAGATTTATGCTCTTGTTAGAGACACATTAACTGGAACAAAGTGGCTACTTTTAAACCTTTTCCCCCCCAAGTAATTTCTTTTTGACGTAAGACAGAAATTTTCTGAAATTCTGAAAGTTTAAAAAATACTTTTGGGTTGCCAACTAATTTAACTGAGAGAAATTAAGGACTTGGAACTATTCTATATGAAATATGTTTTCTGAACCAGCATCAATCTTGAATTTGTTTCCATATGGAAATGAAAAGTCATATGGGCACTGCCAAAGTGGCAGGAGGGACACAGGAGCGTCTCATGATCTGCTGTATCTTATGTCGAGGCAATTAGATCAAGGACAGGATGAAATTCACTCTGATTGAATCAATTAATACAGCAGCATATCACACATTTAGCAAATCACTTTACTGGAGAAAATTCGATTCTGAAAAGCTGCTTCTGTTTATTTTTAGATGACCTAACCCAAGAGGTCATTCAGAGCTTCCTGTTTTCCTTCTTTTACTCTTGGATTTGAATGATTATCATTTTCCACATGTGCAGCTGTTAGGAACCCAAATGTTAATATTCAGATGGAAGAAAATAATGTGCACCCATCACAGCTGTGCACGACCTGCACGCTGCCCCCTCACACCATGGTTCCCAGGACACTGGTGGTGTGGAATGGCTATGCTGACATACATAGGACATTCTGTTTGGGAAAGATGCCATGTAATCAACCTTCACTTAAGCCTAGGACATGTTCTTTTTAAATATCAAAACTACTTTAAAAAAGAAAGAAAAACCTCTTTGCCACCAAGGCTGATATTTCTCCCCTTATTTGGATGGGCGATGTGTCTTCTTTGGAACCACAAGGCTCTGCCTTCCTTTGCCCGGCCAGCTCCCCCTGCAACCTTACAGAACACTGCCAAGTTTTCACTGAGCCTACACAATATATAAATATGATTTGTTCTGAAAAATTACTCTAATCTAGTGAGGCAAATGTGGGCTATAGCAGGAATAGAATGAGTAAAAACTCTAGTTTAAAAAAGGTTTCCTAGCTACTAATATTCATGTAAAAATGAAGGACAAGAACATATGAGCCAATGAGAAAGAATACAATTTATCAGGCAACGGTAGGTAGCTGGCCAAGAGTTAATGCGCTTTGCCTTCACCACCCCAGCAGCAGATTCGGCTGTGAAAGGATGTACCCTGGTGAGTATACTGGCTAAAATGGACCAGAGTTCTCATCATAGAAGTTCCACACTAATGCTTTACAATATTATTCATGCCCAGTACCCCTACAGACCAATGAAATCACACATTCTGGGGTGAGGGCCCGGCCACTGGAATTTTTTGAGGTTCCACAAATTATTCTACTGTGCAGTCATGGGTAGGGATCACTGGTATTTTCACCTCCTTTTCTCCAGTTTGAGGCAAACCTTTGAAATGCATGGAGCCATTCTGACCGGGGCAGTGCTATTGGCATCTAGTGCTGGAGGCCAGGCTGCTGCTGAACCATCCGCAATATGTACAGGAGAGCCACGCCACAAAGAATGATCCAGCCTACAATGCCAATAGTCCCAAGGCTGAGGAATGATGCTCTAAGCGAAGGAAAACATTGGTTTTCCATTCTTTTAAATTATTTATCTTCTGTAAGTCCAGAGAACCAAATGTCATGACCCATCAGGCACAGTTCAAGGCCTGGGTGGTGTCTGGGATCGATGGTGTGGACTAGGTCTTGTCCAACACTGTTCACAATGCACTGATTCTTACACCTTCAGTTGCACTGGCATCTGTTACTTGTTTCAAGCAGAAATTCAATCATATAAAAGAACTCCAAAGTGGGACATATGGCTCTCCTCACTCAGTGCTCATTCACTAGTCACATAAAATGAAAATACATTTACACGACCACACCATTCAGCCACAGTCAGTTCACATGGGACCATAGAAACAAGCCACAAAATGTTGTGCTGTGCTAATGGGGCCCAGGTGCCCATTATGCAGGTTCAATGAATATTAGTTAAAAACGACCACCAATACCTCTGGAAGAGTGGCTAAAGCATCAGTTCCCTAATTAGACATAGAAGGGGTCACAAAACAGTATGAAGAGAGGCAACAATTCCCAAAACATGTCAGGCAAAAATAAGCATTCTGTGATCTAACATAAAAATGCTGAGAATGGCCCATTACTAGCCCATGAGGGTGAGACTTTCTTTCCAGTAGTCATGGTAGGCGATTCCAAACTCTCTCATTCAACTAGCCCTGCCTCACTACCGGGATCTGCCAGACAGCTGGTTAGTGTTAGAGATACTGTCCATGGCTACTCAACCCAGGCTCGCCTTATGCATTGCTGATTGGCCAGCATCATAATTGGAACCATAAACTTGGCCGAAGTCACACTTTACTCAAACCAGTTGAACTCATCAGTTCAGTACAGGGCCACTCAAACACAAAATAGTAGACCAAAACAGTCCTCCATGACATGCCGTCACAGAAATCCAGTTCATATAAGAGAGCTGAACTGCATACATCTATGCAGTTCAAAAACCCCACCAAATACAACCGTTACGCTGCATGGATGACACATTCATTCACTTGAGTTCATTCTGTCCTTTACCTCTGTCTTTGTTTTTCTCCTTCCCTAGGGAATCCAGTTTCTTTCTCAGAGATTTCTTTCTCTTTTGTCCATCTGTAAATGTTAAAAGAATGACAAGTTATGAAAAGAAACACACAAATAGTATTTTATACTCTCAATAACTATATTTCAGCAACAGCATGACTTCTCACTTACTTCACTCATAATTTGGCATTTTGAACTAAGTAATGGCTCTGAAAGAAACATGAAAATCCCTGACTTGGACTGTACACATAAGCAGAATCTCGGTTTATGCTCTTAAATTTGGTTTCAATCATGGAAAGTACAGAAAACTTACCTCTTTCAGAAGCAGATCCGTTTGACACTTAGATGTATTTGCTTTTACTCTTACGTGAGTCTCTTCCTATTCTTTATGTTTATGCAAACCAATGTCACCTTGAATCAAATCTCCATGAGAGAAGAATCAACAGTGTATATATGGCTTTGACATTCATGAGCTGGTAGAGTACAACTGGAGAAGAAAGTGAATTTGGGGGTCCACAGAACTCAGGCCTAATTATTGCTGCACCATTTACTAACTGTGTGCATTTGGACACGTCTCAGTGCCCTCATCTATGAAATGGGAATTTCATGGGGTAGTTGTGAGAATTAAATGAAACAATGCATATAAAGTGCTTCAGGTCCATCAATTCAGGTATACTTTCTTTTGGGGGGCTGCACAGTGTTCCATAGTGTAGCTGTACCATAATTTCATTAACCATTTCTCCATTGATGGACATTTGGGTTGTTTCTAATTTTTCACTATAATAAGTAAGGCATATATCCTTTCAGCATGTTGTACTTAATAATAAATATACTTAATACATCTGGTTAACTTGCCAAATAATACAGATACCACAGATATCAGTAGGCAGCTGCAACTGAATTCCTGGGATGTCATCATGAAATATTGGCACTCATCATGGCAAGAATGCGTTTCAGGGCTATGCAACTGTCATCTTACCCTGTGGGAGGTGCGAATCAGGGATCCACACTGTGATCAAACAGTGGAAATGCAGCCCACGTTGCAGGGAAGCTTATGTTTAAAAGGGGGATTAAGGATTGTTTTTTACAGGATATACTAAAAAGTGTAGTAAAGAAAGAGACTCAGTCCAATAAAATTTAAAAGCAAGACTCTGATTATCAGGAAAAGACACAGTAAGCATTCTTAAACAGAACTGAGCATTCCTGGGATCATCCCAGGGCTGCAGATAGCCCAGCACCTCCTCTCTAAATTTTTGGAGGCAAAAGACATCACAGTATAATCAACAGTCACACTCAATCCCTCTTCCCTTTCAAAAAGCAAAGAAATATTTCAAACATCATTCTCCTCCCACAAAATGTAAACAGTTCACAAGAGTCTTCCCTCTTGCAGGCGTGAGACCTGCATCGGGGAAAGCTCCGGAAACCAGTTATAATGCAGCAAGGAGCCTGCCATCTCTTTCATCACGTGTCTGTTCTTATCTTCAGTGTCTAAAAGATGACCTCACTATAGGGCCTACCACGACTCATTACATACAGACAGACCATAAACATACTAACTGAACAAGATCCTAATCTGTCCTCCAAGTGGGAATGCTAGGTCTTCCACTTCGTAATACTTTGTTCATGACCATATAACCACATTTAATGAGGGTATATTTCTTCTAGAAAATTCTTTCATTCCTTCATTTTTGTAGCATACCCAGAAGAATAACTAAACCATATATTAAAGCTTAAGAGATTTATTTTTCATAACTAGTGGGCAGATCCTAAAATTCAAACAACTTGTCAAACAACCAGAATACATATAGGATAGGGGGCATTTTCTTTTTAGATAGAATGATTTTTTGAAATTTTCTTTTTAATTAGGGATGTGTCATAGCTATATAGATGCACATAAATATAAATGTAAACAGCTTAAATAATAATTAGGAGGCCAACTGCCACATAAGCAACAGCCAAGTTAAAATGTAGCTGCTACTAGTGGCTCAGGAGCTCCCCATATGCCTCCCTCCGCCTCCCCCTCCCACTCCCCCCAGGTAATCACTGGTCTGACTTTTGCAATAATCACTTATCTGCTTTTCTTTATAGTTTTGCCTCCTATGTATGCATTTTTAAGGAATGTAGCTTTGTTTTTCCTGCTTTTGGGTTCACATGGATGGAATCCACAGAAGATATTCTTTCCCAACTCACTGACCTCAGTAACACTTCCTGAAACCGGTCCTGTTGGGGCAGGTACAGAGGCCGCTCATTTTGATTGCTACACAGTATTCTCTTGTCTGACTACACCACGGTTAATTTACCCACTGAACTGGAAGGGAACTTTGAGTTCTTTCTAGCTAAAGACTATTAGGAACAATGTTTTGGAAAAATTTTGTTCATGTTCTCTTAGGCACATGTATAAGAATCTCTCAGACAGTGGTTCTCAAAGTGTTGCTGGGACCAGTAGCATCCGTATTGCCTGGGAACTTGTTAGAGATGCAAATGCTATGGTCCCACCCCAAACTACTGAATCAGGAGCTCTGGGGTGGGGCCCAGAACCGTGTGTTTTAACAAGCCCTCCGGGGGGGTTCTGGTTCATACTGAAGTCTGAGAACCACTGCTGCAGGGTAGATATGAATCTGCACCGTCAGGTCAGCATGTATGCAATCTTAGGCTTTCGTAGGTGACACTGAACTGTTTTCCAAGTACTTTTGCTAATTTATATTCCCAGCAGTATGAGGGTTTACATAGTCCCACAAGGACAACATGTACTTCAAACTCAAAAACTCCAAACAATACTTGAAGTCTCCTTATAGGAAAAAGCATGATCTTCATGAATGCTGGCCTACAAAAACAATTCTTAGCTATTTTTAACAAATATTATCTTTCTCACTGAATTAGACAGAGGCAAACATTATTGACAAGCAACTAGACGAAGTGATGGGAGGTATGCAATCATGTGTAAAGATGCCTTGCTTTGGCATGCCACGTTCTCGTTTAAAACCCTCAGGAGAATGATCAGAGCTGTGCAGGGAAATGGCTCACGCCTCTTTTCCCTTGTGATTGATCACCGGTTTGCCAATTGAGTCTCCGGTTTTTGTTGAGTATCTTCTGTTCCCATAGAGCACAGAAAATTTGCTCAAGAGACTGCCATATTATGCACTTAAAACTATACAGAACAGGTTGTGTTCAACCAGTTCCTTGGATGGCAGTCAGAGTGAAAAAGGTCCATTTGATCCAGTAATTCACTCCCAGGAATTTACCTGAAGAAAATAATATCCCTGATTCAAAAAGACATATGCACCCCTATGTTTATTGCAGCACTATTATTATTATTATTATTAATGGCCCCTGGCAATTAAGGGCCACGCACAGTGCCCATAGGCCACAGCAGGTGTTTTCCAATGGTCCATCTCATCAGTGTCAGTTAATTTGGCCCAGTGAGTCCACTTAGAAAACAGAGAGGACCGATGAGAGTCAGACAACCAAAACCCAGTGACATCATGTCCCGGGCAAAGCCGGTGGGACACGGAAGCCAGTTACTGCCATTGCCATCCTCAGTGGGATGGATTCAAAACTGTCCCTGCTGCTCTGAGTTGCCTGCTCCGTATTCAAAGTACCCCCCATGAAATGGAAGGGAGAGCAGCCCTGACAGAAGCAAGGAAATAGCGACCAGGAAAATGGCCACCTCTGCTGCTTGGCAGGACACATGGCAGCAAGCCCAGGGGAACCAGCGGGCCACTGCAGTACCCTGGTCTAAGAGCAGAGCTGGGATTGGCCCCAGAGATTTAGGAGCAGTCCCAAATCAGCCTAAAACAAGTATTCTCTGTCCAGAGATGTTCAGTCACAAAACATGAAATCTCCTTGGCTTGGGAATATCATGTATGCTTATAATAGTTACCTGTTTAAATGGCATCTTTCCTCTAGAAAGCAAGCCCATTCCCTGTACATTGATCCACCCATTGCTCCATCCATCCCTCCATCCAATGTTGATTAGGCACACCTTATAGGTGGTACAGAGCTAGGTGCTCTGAACCCAGGGGAATGGACACTATCTCTGCAATTGAGAAACTCAGAGTTTTTTAATGCTAAAGACAGAAATCTGGAAACCTCATTACGGCAAAATGAAGAAATGCTTCAATGGAGACGTTTACTAGGTGGTAGATGAGAATCGAGAAGGCTGTCCCCAGCTCTGCTTGGCAAGGCTAATGTTTGAGTTCGTTCTTAGGGGATGAAGTTACCCTTCTTAGGGGTCTCTGCATTTTGGTGGAGGTTCTCCCAATAAATCACAGGTGACTGTTAGGAAATCCTCTCTTATCCTAAGCCTCTTAATGTTTTATTCCTAGTAATCCAGCCCTTTGTCAAGCAAACATTCTATTGGTGAAAAAAGATGAGAAAATTACAAATTCAGGAGTGGATTGATAGTTTCTTTAGTGGGAACAAGGGCTCAACAGAGTGACAAATAAGAATTCTGGGAGACAACAACCTACATGGAAAATGTAGAAAACAATATATTCATGCCTGAATTGCCTCTACCATTCAGTCAACTTCGCACCTCACTATATGTATGTATACACGTTTTTTCAAGTCATTTTCAAGAAATCTTCCACACTATATAGTCTGTTGGTTATTTAGTCAGATCGATAGGTCAAAGTCTCCATATATATATATATATATTGCCTTACCATGAACAGTTCTTCCATTAACCTGACTGAAATAGAAAGCAGGTAGAAACAGGGTGATTGAGTCATTTTTCTTGGTGTAAATCCCAGTAAATTAAACACTGTTTCTTTATCCTGCTAGCACCTTGTGGGTTAGATTTTTCAAAATCTGTTTCCAAAGTGTCTATGTTTCTCAGGGAAGGAAATATTTATGGTATTCTTAAGCAATACAGATGCCTCTCCTTAGAGCTGCAGCTCCTCAAAGTACTTGTGAAATGTACTAACCCCCACAGTTTACATGTTGAAGTGGTGGTGAAATGATCAAAGCTGCGGTTGGAAAATAAGCACATTCTATGAGCCCCTCACTGCTCTAAAGGCAGTAAGCTCTTGGAGGTCACCTTGCTTCCAGTTAAGCACGAAGAAACCTTT